ACTGTCGCCCTGCCTATTTAACTTATATGCAGAGCACATCATGAGATAGGTGGGCCTAGATGAATCACCAGTTGGAATTAAGATTGCTGGGAGAAATATCAACAACCTCAGATATGCAGATGATACCACTCTCATGGCAGAAAGTGAAGAGGAACTAAAGAGCCTCTGGATGCGGGTGAAGGAGGAGAATGCAAAAGTTGGCTTGAAACTCAACATTAAGAAAACTAAGGTCATGGCATCCGGTCCTCTCACTTCCTGGCAAATAGATGGGGAAGAAATGGAGGTAGTGACAGATTTTATTTTCCTGGGCTCCGAGGTAACTGCAGACAGGGACTGCAGCCAAGAAATTAAAAGACGCTTGCTCCTGGGGAGGAAAGCTATGGCAAATCTAGACAGCATACTAAAAAGCAGAGACATCACCCTGCGAACGTAAGTGCATATAGTCAAGGCTATGGTTTTCCCAGTTGCAATGTATGGTTGCGAAAGCTGGACCATAAGGAAGGCTGAGCACCAAAGGATTGAAGTCTTTGAATTGTGGTGCTGGAGGAGACTCCTGTGAATCCCTTGGACCGCAAGGCGATCAAACCAGTCAGTGCTAGAGGAGAGCAACCCTGACTGCTCTTTAGAAGGCCAGATCCTGAAGATGAAACTCAAATACTCTGGCCACCTAATGAGAAGGAAGGACTCCCTGGAGAAGAGCCTAATGCTGGGAACAATAGATGGCAAAAGAAGAAGGGGATGGCAGAGGATGAGGTGGCTAGATGGGGTCACTGAAGCAGTCGGTGTGAGCTTCATTGGACTCCGGGGGATGGTGGAGGACAGGAAGGCCTGGAGGAATGTTGTCCATGGGGTTGCGATGGGTTGGACATGACTTCAGACTAACAACAACAACAAGAAGACCTACCAAGTCATTCTTTTAGGTAATGGGCACAAAGAGCCTAATCTAAAACATACCTAGATTTTCAACTTCACACCTCATACATTTTTTTCTATAAAGCAAGGCTTTCCTGGGGCATAAATGCACCCTAGAATCTCTCTAGGAGTAACTTTGTGAGGTACTGTTATATCTCAGATGATACCCACAGTGGAACCAAAGAAGGCTCAATACCATCTTGTTCTCTTTTAAAACTAAAATTCTTAGCTAAAACCTGGAGCGAATAGAGTTAAAATCCATTGAGGGAAACTTGTGCTGTGATATCTTAAAGTTTGCAGGCCAAACCATTGTTAAACACAAGAAAAAGTGAATGAGCCTAGCATTGTTATGTAGATTTTCTTGTTTAGAATTTCCTCAGAAAGGATTAAACTTTAAATTTGCTGTACTTGCTCATAACTGAAAACCATTCTTATCTTGCTGGAAACCTCCTGGGGGGAAATTTCAATCACAATGATTTTCAGATGCAGCATTTTTTCTTGCCTGAAGCACTTCCATCTGGGGTTAAAAACGACTTCAAATGCAACTAGTGCTAATTTTTTTGTAAAGATGGGAAGTTAAACCTCTTTCTGCCAGTAACTAACCCTTGGAAGGGCATTTCAAGATTTAGAATAGGGGGAAAACTGCACTAACATGAATAGTCCCATCAAACGATTGGTGGTGAGGAGCAGAGGGACCATTTGGAGGACACCAGAGAGCCAAATTTGGCCCCAGGGCTGAGGTTTCCCCTGCCTGAGCTACTGCATGATGGCATGGAATATGTAACTACTCATGGAACCTTAAACTATTTACATTCCAGCTTCTGAGGCGAAGGAGAGATTGTCACTTTAGGCACAGTTTCGATCTCTTGCAGTGCAGGCCAAGGACCTGGAAGTGGTTCCAAGGGGAAAGCTGCAGGACCGAGAGCTGAGAGGCAACAAGGCTGAAGAAAGACTGTAAAGCAGGAGCTGGGCTGTGAAAAAGAGTCTGAAGGAATGGTAGGGTTTGAGGAAACGGGGAGCAGCGGCAAGAAGCAGTTTTGAAGAAAAGCTTACTATGAGCAGGGACTGCTTGCTATGGTCTGCGGGGAGAGAGGAGAGCTTGCAAGGTGGCTAAAGAAAGTGGGGCAAAGTTGGCAATAGGCTGAAATGCTGGAGCAGAAGGAACAGTTGGTGGTGGAGGCATAAAAGACGGGCAGGGTAGGGCTGGGGCAATACTACAGTCAGGGCAGGAGAGGCAGGAAGGGCTGGGCTATATTAGTGAAAAAGACACAGGCAGACAGAGGAGACATCCCACCAGGCAGCCTGGTAGTTGCAGCTCCATCTGGCAGCTCAGAATTGGGATCCGCCATGTCAAATGCCAGGCTGGACATGGGTGGCTGAATTTCCCACATCATTTGAAGCGATCAGCTTGCACTTTGGTTTGCAGGCGTTTCATTCAGACGCAGCATTTTTCCATGGTTAAGGAAAACAAACCACAGTTAAGAACTATGCCTGATGAGTACTGGATTCCCAACTTGCCCTTGAAAACCCTGCATGGACTCTATGGTATTGCTTCCTTCCATAGGCCACTCCTGAGATGCTTCTTGCCTCTCTTTTCCTTTCAGAGCTTCTCCAGGACAGACCGGCTGCTGAGACATAAGCGAATGTGCCAAGGTTGCCCCAGCAAAGCATCCGACTCACAGCTGCTACTTTAGGGGTAGGCCAGGAAGGGGTATTTAGAAAGAGATGGGAAGCCAGCAGGATTCTCTGGGTCCCTTTGTTCATTGTTTTGGTTTTTGCGCTTGTGTTTGCCCACTTGGCCTACCCCCGTGGCAGGCGTATAGCTGAGCAGAGCACAGACTTTGAGACAAGGTCTTGACACTGTAAATAAATTGAGGATGAACTGTGGCTGGCTCTCAGCCAGCAGAAGTCTCTTGCGGTTGTGGATAAACTTTGGGTGCGTGCTTTGTTTTTGTTGAAGACATCACCATTTGCCTCCGGAAAGGCTTTGAGAGAATGGCTGGGCCTCCTTGCTGCAAGTTCTCATGATGAAGTTCAGAGCTCTTGATTGGCGTATGATATGCCTGCTTGCCCAACCTTTGGGCCTATGAAGATGGGAGAAGAACAGGCAAATCATTTTGTTTTTTTAAAGCGTAATTAAAAAAGAGAAAATAATCAAGCACCAGACTGTTTTACAGAGCCAGCACTCAAACGCAACGGATATCAGAGACTGGTTATCAGCAGAAAAAGGAATCTTCCAGGTGTCATGGGAGTCCATCTCATCTGAACTTTGATATGAGGTCTGCAGGACCTTTCTTATTTTCTACAGTCTCTGGGTTTGTGGTTAAGTTCCTTTTGTGACCTTTAGGTTTCAAGAAACAAGATGTGGAAAGTGTGGTCTATCTGATAGGAGCCTGTAGAAGTTCACCTTCCATTTGTTACCACTGCAAGATCCAAGACATGATGCTGATGAGCTCCGACTGGTTGGAAGAACACATCTGGCTACTTCCAGTGAAGGAAGGAACTTCTGATTTTTTTATCAGAAATTACTCCTGTCTCCCTTCCCTTCCAGATATTCAGACATGCAGAATCCATGTATGCAAAGTTACTGCTCTTGTCCAATGTGAATTCTCTTTTTCCTAGTGAAATGAGATGGCTGTAGTCCAGGGTCACAATCTTAAGGTCTTCCTCTGGTGGTATGGAGCAATAATTTTGGGGGGGGTTGCATGAAGAAAGAATTCAGACCTCTATATGAACCTAAGAACTAGACATTTGGGGACCAAGGACCAGCATGCCCTCGATTATTAAATCAGTTTATGCTACCTTGAGCCAGACAAAGTCTTATGTCTGTCTTAGGAAAACCATGACCCAAGAGAGTGAAAGATCTTTGATTACTCTTACCCACTTAGCTGAAACTGAAAAAGAAATTTCTTTCCAAAAGAATATGCAATTCTGTCCAAAGTTGTTTTCTCTGCAACCAAGAGTAAGACATCTGTACAGTAAACATAACTCTCCAAATACCTGGCATTCATAAAGGGGTGTCTCTGTGTGTAGGGATGGGTGGCCACCTGATCCTACCCCATAATTTGTCCCGTAAGCAGGATTTCCCCTCTCCTTCCACCCATCCTGACATCTTCTTCCCACTCATCTAGTGCTACAAGCCAGGTTTGGAGACCAGTATCAGTAGAAGATTTGCTTTCCCTGGAGTTCATGTTGCACAGAGAGGAGGAAAGAAAGAATGCACACACTGTTGCAAGCTTAAGTGTCCCGTCTCCACACCAGTGTGTGCTGGAAAGGTTCTTGCAAATAGGGGAGGACCTATTGATTTTAGGTGATCTAAAATCAGTAGTTTTCTCCAAAAGTACAGCCCCCTGGTGTGTACCAGCAACAGGTGCTGCTTTACTGCAGGAGCTGAGCTAAAACACAACACTTACTAACTTGGAGAGATCATATTTTATTACACCCTTGGTAATTTCCTCAAAGACTGTCTCCTGGGTGTACTTTGTTTCTTAGACCCTCTTGTACCTGATTCCTCATTGGAGCACTATATGGGAGATTTTTTAAAAAAATACTAATAATTAAGCATTTTTACTTATCATGCTTGATAGCCTATCATGTGGCTTCCAATGACTTTCAGTCCAGGGAGCTGTCCAGCTCCACACCTGCTTAATGTTGTGGTTTCAGATGTTCCCAGTTTATGAGAGGACCCCCTCCCCCATTTGAAGGAGTTTGAATACGGTTTGGCCCTCTGGATAGGTAAAATGGCAAGTGGAACAGAAGGAACCATAGGTCCAGTGGTCCTGATGCATGGTGAGCAGTATGCTGAATTTTAAAACTGTTTCCGACCTTACTGGTTGCTTCTCTGATCAGGTGTTGAAGCAGATCCAAGAGAGAACTTTTCAAGTTCTTTTTTTCCTCCTTTGTGTATAGTAGGACAGCCAGTGTTGTTTCACTCCCCCTCCCCCTTTAAATAGGTCAAATGGGGAAATTACCCCATTTTAGCTGAAATTAGTAACATCGCCTTTTGTTCAGCTTTTCTTTGTACTGAATGATTAGGATGCCTGATTTTAGTGTAACTGCAGATTGTAGCCTTTTGCTATTTTGGTGAGCCACCAAAGGTTAAAGAAAGTGGGCATACGAGCACAAGTATTGGCCGATCCAGTGTGTTTTCTATGTATTTGTGGTGTAGAAGGCTGGAGAACCAGCACACTTTAATCTGTAAACTTATTTGTTCAGAAGTTTTTCCCCTGTGAAGAACCATTATATACAAAACAGTCTGAAATGCACTGGTTCAGTAAATAATTGTTCTCATTTACCACCTTGTGCTTTTACCCTTGGCCTTTTCAGAGTTGCTGTTTTGTTGGATACTGTTTTGGTGGGATAAGCCAAAAAAAAAAAGAGTCATGAAGAAATTGAAGGTCTTTAGAAAAAGTTTTTTGTTTTGGTTTTTTTGAGAGAGAGAGAGCACAACCATATGGCTTTCTTGCAACTTTTTGGGACCTCCTTTCCTCAAACAAAAGCAGAGAATTGTGAGTTAGAAAATACCTCGTGCCACAGTTCCAGGGGGAAGCAGCAGTGTGTTAAATTTAGACAGGCTTGCTCAAACAGGAAAAGCCTCTTAATCAAACACCAGGCAATGCTGTGCTGCCCTTTTCTGGTTAATCCTCTGGCATTGATCCATGGGTAATTGAGACATAGCATTACAAAGCCTCTCCAGTGTTGCTGGTCACTTCCCTGTTCAGCTGACTGGATGTCTAGCTCTCCAGAGTGAACTGCCTGCCTTGTGCTGCCAGGTCACTCGTGTGCCAGACAGGGCAACGACCCGCCATTGCTTAGATCCCTTGGAAGCACGTGTGACTTCTGCTGTACAGACCAGATTTTTGGTGGGACTGCCTGCCCTCCAAACTGCTGCTTGTAGGAAATGGGGAGGCTGTTAACATTGTATGTTCTCCTGTTACCCTTGGCCAATGTGGCCTTGATCTAGTTTTCATTCAGCAGGCCAACAAAAGAGCACTGTTCTTGTTCTGGCTGATACGTGATAGAGCGCTGCCTCGGCTCTGTGATCAGCCCTCTCTGCTCTCTTAGGAGCTTGAAGGCATGGAAATAGTTTACACCAAATGTTGACGCGCACGTGATTTTTGCAGCTGAGGTTTTTCTCAGAACCTGGCTGGTATGTAGAAAGGAAGGGATAAGGGAGAAGGCAAACAGACGGCATAGCTCATTGGGTAAGTAGGTAGGACGTCACTTCTTTTCATCTGGCACCCATCTTGGCATGCAGCCAGCTTGCAGTGCCTCTGCTGCTGCAGATCACCCGTTCCACTTGATCCCAGTGAATCAGTGAATTGTTTGCAAGGCGGGATGCTCTGTACATGCACCTCTCATGTTCATGTGTTCTGTAAGGATGCTTTCTATAAATGGAGGTTGCAGACCTTTCAGGTGCGTAGGAACAAAATGCTTTGGGGAAGTACTGAAAAACCAGTCCCCTTTGTTTAAGGGACTTCACTTGGTTTCCATTTTTTGTTCTGGAGTGGGTAACTAGGGTAATTAACAGAATATCATGGTAAAGCTTTTTTCTAGGTGGTACTACTGAAAGAAATGCTGCCCTGCATGCAGAAATCTGGCATGTCAGGAGAAGAGGGTGCATCCTAAGCTCTCTAATGTAGTACTGGCAGGAAGCTCATTCTGATCTCTCCCAGTTAGTCCCTCTGTGAAGTGCTTTCATGAGTAAAGTGATTCAAGCACCTCAACATTGGTAATTTATACAGAATTTGTTGTCTGGCTGTTGGCAGGTAGTTTGCTCCCATGTAAATTATCAGCACCTAGAAAAAATGGTTTGTATCAACAGGAAATAATCCAAAATGAAATAATAGGGGCCATTGTTAAAAGGATTCTTTTTCTCACAAGAGAAAATTGACTAGAAACGGAAGTGAAACTTCATTAGAATTTCACTGTCACTGGGCCAGGTGCAAATGGCCAGCAGAGTTTTAAAATGACTTTTCTTTATTCAAATGATAGCACAGAGAGGCAGTTGTGTTGGAAGAAAGTTGTAATTTGACATGAGTTTAGAGAAGTAGGATTCACAAATGCTTACAGTCAAAAAAATGCTATGTGCTGTAGGTTCAGTCCTAATTTGAAATGTTTCTGATGGTGCTGATAGGGTTGCTAACTGAATGGGGATAGCTTGGCAATTCCATGTAGTCGTAGTATGTAGTAGTAGTGATAGTACTCGCTTGGAAATTGGGCTCTGCATAAACTATAACCTTTGTTCCCCTAGCATGGAGTATGTCCACACAGGCTTGTAACAAACACAGCCTGTGTTATGCAACATCTTCCTTTCCTGGGTGCTTTGGAAAAGCCAGTACTTTGCGAGTTGCGTGCTACGTCATGGGAACTATGGACCCAGCTTTTTTCCAATCTCAAGATGTTCTTTCTAATGATGAAGCATTAATGTACATTTGAGGGCAAGGCTTTTAAAGAGTGCAGTGGTCAGCTCTGCCCCTCCACCATCTTCCTCCTTGGAAGTTGCTGGCCATGTGTCAGTGGGCATGGTCTCGAAGGTGTTGGCACTTCCACTCTCTTGCCAGTGGCTGCTGCACAAGATGACCCTGTGATTCTTCATGCATGTGGCAGGGGAGCCTCAGGGTGCTTTCCTTATGGGTAGCGATTTTGCTGGCCTTAGTTTAGTAGTTTGGGTGAAGCAGCAGACATTAAGACGATCTGTTCATGCAGTTCACACTGGCTTTCACACACTCCTTCCAGTCACAGTAAGAGGAAGGAAAATTCTAGCACTTCAACCTGAACAGAGAATCTGAATTTGCCCATATTGTTACAGCCTCGTATCAAATTCTGACGGCTTATATATATTTTTTAAAAATGACCTTCCCTACCCTCCCTTTTAATTCACTTAATTTACTATGGGGGAGGGAGTTGCGATAGGGATATGTTACCCAAGGGCAGGATCACTTTTAAACTGTAGTTTTTATAAGATGTTATAAACTTGTATCTTTTTACCATTCGGTCTGCAGTCTGTTCCTTTTTGTGATCTATTTAGGATGCTGAAATAAAACCTGCTTTCTTCCCCCACCCCTACCCCTCAGTTCACTGCTTCTCATCTCAGATCTGTTAATTTGATTATTATGCATTCAGTGGACAGATCCTCACATTTTGCCACACAGTTGTCTGAGTGCCCGGGACACAGATCACACAACTGCGTTATGCAGAGAACTCCAACTGGGGGGCACCCAGGAAGGTGCATTCTTCAGAGTCAAGCCAGGGAAACATCCATTTCAGTATCATCTCTGCTGAGTTGCTGGGGCATGCCAGGATTCCAGGCAGGTCCCTTCCCCAGTCCTGCCTGGCTAAGATGGGGATGGACCGTGAGACCTTTGCCTGCTGTGCACATCCTCTGCCACTGAGCTTCAGGCAGCCCTTCCCTGAAAATTCTTGGAGGCTCCCTTTGATTTCTAAGACACAATGTCCAGGTGCTGTAATGTAAGAGGGGGCAGATGGAGAAAAGCTTAGTCCTGCAGCACCATTTTGGAGGGCTGCCCACTACCCAGAAGAGGCTCCCATTTGTCTGAGAAGTCTGAGTCATTCAGTCTGGACAAGGTAACCTGGTTCTGTTTTATTAAAACTCACAAAGATAACCTGGATCTGTTACCTTTAAAATGCTTTTTTAATTCATTATACTTCCGGACCACTCTATAACTGGGCTGACTGGTAATTTAGACATATCATATACAAAGGACAATGATAAAAGCTACAGTGTCAGCGTGACCATGAATTCATGAGCTTCCTGACTCAGAAATGACTCCTATATGTTGGGGAGCCTGAGAACCATTGGGGAGGTGGGGGTAGAAATCCTCAAGATCAACGTTAAGACCAGCTCAGGCATGGAGACTGATAGGCAGAATCCCAGGGGGGAAGGATGAGTTGAACTGCATGGCATGCATGCAGTTGCTAGCCACTACAGCCACTCAGCCTGTACCTGGAAGTGTGCTGGGGACTGGCCATCATGAGACCCTCAAGGGGTGTCACTGCTGGAAATGGAAAACCAAACTGGAATGACCTGGGCCTGCTGTGCTACGGCAGCTTTCCCAAACCTGGCACCAATGTCATCTGGAGGTGCTCAGCTCTATGAAGGCAATTGCATGTTCCAGTAATTCGCAGCCTGTGGTCTGGTCAAGAGAATCCACAGCACTTCGCTCCAGCAGAACCTGGTTACTGCTTCTCTGATTCACTGCACTAGCCTTCTTCCAGTCAGCCCCTGCTTGCTGTTAGCAGTGGTCACCCTGTTTCTACAGCAGGTACGACTGGATAATTATCCTATAGAATTACCTGCCTCAAAGGGGGAGCACCCAGAAGAATGATTCAGTGAAAGAAACCCAAGGAGTGGTTTCTTTCTGGAAGTGGGTCATCCTTGTTCACATACCACTGATTTGGGGAGACGGGGGGCTTGAGAATCCAAATGAAACATTGTCAGAAAGCTTTTAGTTTGAGATAGCAAGAGCCACTGGGGAAATGAGTTTCATATGGTTCAGATGCCATTTGCCATATTTGGGGTGATCTTGTTTCTGTCCTGTGAAGTATAGGTCAAACTTTTTTTTAATTACCTATGAAATTTAGAGAAATTGGGTCTGTGCATGAGCCACATTTTTCTGGGTCCTATTTTTGCATTAAACTAGCAGCAGGAAAGCAGGTGGTCTGGTGAGATTTCCATGCATGTTTCTGCCAAAAATAGCCATTTTTGTTCAAGAAAAACCACATGAGTTTGTGAGATTTGTATGAGATATACAGGTCCTGTTAAAATGATACGTTTTTCCAATGCTGGTTTTCATACATTCCATTGGCAGTTTAAAAAAATGCACAAATTGGATCCATCTTGTCAACTGAAGTCTCTGAGCTTGCTCACCCTGCACAGCAGGTGGATCCAAAGCCGGAGTCTGAGGGGGTTCCTGAGGAAATCCAACAGGTTTCCACCCAACCCCCACCACAGATTTCTCACATCCCTGCAGCAGGCTAAGGACTCTCACACACAGCTCTCTCTGCAGAGGCTGTGTTTGCTGTGCATTAATTGAATTTGGGGTTGATAAATGTGGTGGTGGCTTCCCGGAACAGCGGGTTGTTCGCCTACAAAAGAAATGCAAAGAAGTCAGTAATTCCAAGAGGTATTAGTGCTACAACTGCAGATGGAGTGACCAGTGCGGTACAGCTCCCTTGGTTGTACACTGAAGGGCACTAAAACACGCTGAAGATCATGATGCAACTTGTCCATATCCATCAGCAGGTGAAGTTGCTTGCTTTGTTCTGTAACTGGTGGTTCTGGACTTACTTGAGCTGCAGTACCACTTGGCAAATCCAGTTTCTTTTTCAAATATCCTTTATGTACCTTATGGATTATACATCTAATCTAATACTAAACTGGAGAAGACAATAATGCTAGACAAAGCTGAAGGCAGAAGAAGAGGAGAAAAACCAAACATTGATTCCATAAAGGAATCCACAGCCTTGCATTACAGGAGCCGAACTGAGGACATTTTAGAGGGCTTGCATTCAAAGGGTCACCGTAAATCAATGACATCTTGGCAGCAACAACAAAACAAATGAACTAAATTATATATAGCCAATAAGAATTTTTTTTGGAATTTGCACACACACACACACACCACCCATTATAAGCATTTATACATTTAAATGACCATCAAATTTAAATAGAATATGATCAGTAAAAAAAATCTTATCAATTGAATTGTCCCTTAATTTCATAAAAAGAATGAAAGGCGAGCAGCTAATACTGCATTTTCAGTTTTTTTATTTGCTGCCTTCCAACATTTCTTCTGTCTCATTTTCCAAGCTCTTACCTATTCTCTAAGGAAGTGGAGATGTTTCTTCAGGTTTGAGTGACTCAAAAGTCCTACTGTAATTAGTAAGTTCCAAGTAACACTTTAATCTGATGCAAATTCCTCTAAAGGCACATTCCTTTTTTTAAAGACAGTCCTTAAATGCATATTTGAACTAATGGGAGCTAGGGTAGAGGAAGAAGAATCTTGTTGATTTCTCTTTTCCTTGGTTTCTCATGTTTCCAATATTATATATGCTTTGTTTTGAACTTTGAGAGTTTCTCCAATCTTCATTTCATCCTGAACCTTGTTGATAAAATTCATTTTTGTGCCGAGCGATACATAAACTTCTGTATGCATTTTTTCCTAACGCACAACTGAAGAACTCAATCACAAAATTCAGAAAATTGCAAATTTTAAAGGGTAACTGAGTTTCAATGGCTGGAAAGTATAAAAGTTTGCCAAATTTACTGCAGTTGTGACCTTGTTCTCGTCTCCTATTTCAACAGTATGCTATGGAATTAGTTGCTTAGGTGGATAGAACTGAGTCATTTCCTAAGCAAATATGGAAAAGGCAGAATCCAGACCTTCAGAATGACCAACGGCACAACTAGTCTGTCCCATAAGTGCAATCTTAACCCGTTTGGCCAAGGAAGATGGGAGCACTGACCTTGTCCCATTGGAGCTTTTCCAACTCCTTTTCAAAGCGCTTGAACTCCCTCCGGTCCTGCACCTCCACAATGCCACGGTACAGCACCATGATGGACAAGCCTGCTAACACAAGGCCCAGCACCAACCACAGCACCAGGTTGACCGTCTGTGTCGTACCTGGCAGCGTGGGAGAAAGGTGGTGAGATGGAGTCTGCAAGGTGGCCTCCTCTACTCTGAGGAAGCTACTGCCCTCCCCCACCAATATTTTCTTGAGCTCCCCTCCCCCACTATCGAGGCGCACATTGGCTTCATTCCAAATTTGCGCTGGATCCACTGCATTGACAGAAGTGGGTGTTCCAGTCCTCCTTCGCACAGCAGCCCCCTGAAAATGCTGCTCTGGAAGATCTTGGTGAGCAGAGTAGGACACAGGCAAAAATGGTGCCTGGGACAGGGCACATCTGCTCACAGAAGGCAGAGCCTGGATCCAATCCACTTCTCCCATTCAGGATGCACACCCAGCTCCTCCTCCTCTGCAGGGTTCAGGATACCTTCTTCCTTATACCTGTACCAAGATTCAAACTTCCTCAGTTTTCCCCATTTCCTTCAAGGTTGGAAGTATCTCCTGCTACAGGACTTCTACAATGGCCCATTAGTTTTATAAGAGCCCTGCTGAATATTGCTAAAACTAGTTCTCGGATGAGGATCAATGCAGCCACTTTGTGAATTCTCCTCTGGGCAAGGCCAGGGGGGCTGTCACAGTGAGTTGGTGGGCTTCAGCCTTTGCCTACGTGCCACTGCAAATACACGCTTCCCCCTTCTGCATTCTGAAGCAGCCCGGTTGTGAGAGGGCTGCACTCTGCTTTTCTGAGATCTGTAAGCTTGCCTGAGACGCCTCACTGGACTGTACCACTTCACAGCGTGCGTGGGAGATTGCCCATTCGAACATTCAAAAATTCTCCCCACTGACACATCCACCACCAGCACATGGGTGAGATGGCTTCCCAGTGCAATCCTATGAATGTGTGCTCAGAAGTAACTCTCAATGAGTATGGTGGGACTTGCTCTCAAGGAAGCTTGTCTGGAATTGTGCTGCAAGACCTCCTTTCTTAAGTGCCGAAGTTTCATGCAGTCTTGCAAGGCAGCTGCTGCCAGCAACTCTGGTGCTGGCACGGGCGGACTGGTGGCCTCTTTTGTGTCAGGAAGAGCAGAGAGAGGAAGGGGAGAGACTTGCAAAGGCCTTCTAGCCTCACTGCCCTGCCCCTGCAGAGAGGTCTACAGAAGCCGACAGAAGAACAGGGCTTGGTGCTGGCTGTGATTTCCCATCTGTATACCTGGCAGTTTCCATTCAGTCACACCGAGCTTGGGACAGAAACTTATTTGGCCTCTGGAGGCTTGGTTCCTTAGGTGATGCCACGACTTACTCGCTCAGTCTCTCTCTCCATCATCCTTCCAAGGAACTCAAGGCAGCTTATATCATTCTCCTCCTCCTCCTCCTCCTCCTCTCTCAATCTGATCCTCATAACAACAACCCTGTTAGGCAGGCTGGGCTAAGAGTCTGCAGCTGGCTGAAGGTCACCCAGTGGGCGCCATGGCCAAGTGGGGACCAGCACCCAGACTGCCTGAGTCACTGCCCCATGCTCTTAACTACTACGCCACACTAACTTAACTTGTTTACTTCAGCCTGACATGCGGCCACAGACAAAGGAGATCAGCAACGGATGCCGTCCTCCGGGAACCCTCTGTGAAGGAAATTAGGAGGGTAAGTACTCGGAGGAGGGCTTTCTCTGCGGTGGCGCCCCATCTATGGAATGCGCTCCCCAGAGAGGTCCGCCTGGCGCCGTCGTTATTTGTTTTTTGGCACCAGGCGAAGACCTTTTTATTTAAAACTTATTTTAATTGTTAAATTATTTAATTAATAGGATTTAAAATTTTTAGCTGAGACTGCACTGGGGGTTTTTTAACAATTTTTTAAAATTGTTATATTGTTATTATTTAAGTATTTATGTATTTATGCATCCTTTGTGAGCCGCCCCGAGGCTTTGTTGCAATGGGGGCAGCATAGAAATGTTTTAAAGAAAGAAAGAAAGAAAGAAAGAAAGAAAGAAAGAAAGAAAGAAAAGAAAGAAAAAGGAGTCTGGGTGGATCAGAATGTGGACCTGCCTGGTGCAGCACCTTGTGTCCAGCAGTGGCCCAGCAGAAGCCCACAAGTGGCTCTCAGAGCGAAAGGCTCCCCTGCCCACCCTTTCTTCCTGCCACAGGCCAAGGCCCAGGCTCCAGCGGGGGCCCACTGGCAGCACCGTCCTGAAGTTGCTCCTCCCCCCGCCGCCCTGCCACAGCCTTGTTCTTGTGGCCCAGCCCCTGACTCAGACACTGCGGGTGGCGAGAGGAAAGAGCGGGAGGCGCCTCAGCCTGCCAGGTCCCGTCAATCCGGCAAGCGGCAGCGGGGCAGAAAGGAGCAGGTGGCAAGGGTGGTGAGCAGGCGGCTGCCCTGAGGAAGGACGGTCTTGCCGGGGGCCCCATGAGGCCTAGGACCAAGTTGCTCGTTGCCACTCACCCTCTTTGCGGCTCACTGTCAGCGTGACGCCGCCAGTCTCATCCGTCTCGATGAGGAAGATGAGGAGGCTGCTGCCTTTCATCGGCATCTGGCACCACCCCTCATGCGTGCTGGCTGCAGGCACGACCTGCACCGTCTGGCCACAGGAGGCGCTGCAATTCGCACTCAGCTGCCCGGTCCCGAAGGCCTTGCACTCTGCGCAGTCCCTGCAAGTGTACAGAGAGCATGTCTTCCCCAGCGCTTTTGCCCACAGTCACAGTCCCATTCCCATCCCAGCGCTAGGAAAGAAGTCTTTGGCCACTCGAGCAGGGATGCCTGGTCTACCTGAGGTCCAGGTAGCGAAGCCTGGCCAGAAGCAGGTGAGTGTTCCTGTTGTCTGGACGAAGGTGCAAATGGGCCACAGGTGGGCTCTGTTCACTTTTTGGACTTGCTGTAAGGGACATCTCCATAAGGTTGCACAGGACTGACGAAATACAGAGGGATGGATCCTGACCTAGTCTTTTGTAAATTCGGTTCCACTGGAACTTTGTGGATTGTCAGGTGCCATTTGTCCTGCTCTCTGCTCATTGGTGGAACTTGATTTTGTAAAGATGTGTTCATATACATTTGCACTAGTGCAAATTTGCACTTCTGAAAATGCACAAATTCCTACATTTTCGCGCCTTAAGTCTATAGGGGACTATTTTCTATTTTCAGCCCTTTAAAAAACATTATTTTGCGTTGACTGCATTTTCATGCAATTACAGAATTACAGAAAGTTTTTTTGAAAATCCACAAGTCATTGGAATCTGTGCTACTTGGAAAAATTGATCTGCTGTGGGATTCATGAGTTAGATTCACAAAAATCCAGACTCAGTTGAATCCATTGCAAATGTCTTCAGTATCTTTACTCTGAGCAGATCCACTGAGATCACTGATACTTAAGTAATGACTAAGTTAATTCCCAATAATTTCAGTGGGTCAAAATCTAAATCTGGATCTGACCCAGACAGCATAGTCATTGCTTTGACGAAGAGAATTAATTGGCAGGCTTTCTACTGCCACAGCGCTGTCACCACGGAGGTTAGACTATACCAGTACAGCATGGCTCACTAGAAATAAAATCCTTCTACTCTAGGGACCATCAGGTAGTTGTGCGCTGTTTTATTCTTCAACACAGAGGGCTGGCTTCAGGATTTGTCTCAGTTGCTTAAATTTTGTGGCTCCTCTCTACCTCACCTGGCAGATTCTTCTGACCCTCAGTGTAGCATTTTCAGATCACTGGAGGGAATGCCATGGGGAGGAGAAGGTGGGGCAGTCTGCTTCCCACAGCCCAGTGGCATGTTCCTTCACCCGGATCCAACCCTGAGTTAGCTGAGTTATTTGAACAGGGCCCATGCACACAGTGGGCTCAGCAGATACCTTAGGGTTGGATCCTGAAAGACACTGCTGCCAGAACAGGACTTCTGCACCCACCCCACCCGCCTGCTCTCTGCAACACCCCACATGCCCTCCAAATCTCCTTGCAGTCCTGCAGAGCAGATATGGGCAGCATACGAAGACTCGCAGGCAAAGGACAGGACCCAGAGGCCTTATCCCACCACTGGTATCCCTCTGCTGGTGGAATGACAATTCTGGATCCAAACCTTCTGTTTTGTGCTCCCCTGTATTGCAATAGGTAGCAGACACATCAACTTCTACATGGGAGTCGCGTATTGCAGCCCCAATCGTACCATGAAAATACACAACTGCGGCTGCATAACAGAGGCTGAACAATTATGTATAATTACAAAGCAGGCCCCCTGCCCAGCACCCCATTGCAAAGAAGGTCAAGCCATCCCCAGCACTGGCCACTCCCCTACACACCTGTGCAGCTCGCAGGGTGTCTGGCAGTCCAGGCAGTGGCTGCAGTGGCTGCCAAACCAGCTGGGGTCGCACTGGCATCGGTTACACACGCAGCGCCCGTGACCGCTGCAGGTGGTGCCCTCCTGCACACACCCACTGGTGTCCAGGCTGCACTCGCAGGCACTCCCGGTGTAATTCGCGTCGCACTGGCAGGTGCCGCACCTGCATTGCCCATTGCCTGCCAGCAAGGAAAGAGGTCAGTCTGTGCTGTGGGTTTCCTTCGCAGCACTGATTCCGTCCCCAGATATATAGCTGCCCTGCATACCTCTGTCTTCTCATCATACCGATATTGCTCTTTTTAAAGGAAAAAAAGCAAGGCTGAAGAAAGGGACTCCTGTGCTCTGGAGCCCCATTCCATGCTTCCTCTGCAGTGCATTTCTGCAGTGTTGGGCTTTGCTAGCCAGCTTCCCATCTGAGCACACGGAGAGAACTCACGATGGCACCAGGATTGCACAAAGCCCCTCAGGCTGCAATTCCAAACACACCCAGGAGTGCGTCCCGTCCCGTTAAACTGAGCAGAACTTGCTTCTGAGTAGGATGTACAGAAGTGGACTGTCACTGTCATTCTTGCCCCACCGTTGCAGAACGCACCAGGTTAAACAAAAGTGGCAGCCCAACCCCTGGAAGGCACCACCTGATCTTACCTGCACAGAGCTGCCCATTGTGCCGGTGGCAGGCAGTGTTGTCGCAGTTGCAAAAGGGCCCGCTTGCTTGGCTGCTGCACTGGCACTTCCCGCACACACACTGGCCCTTCCCACTGCAGATGGGGCCCGTGTCATTCACATCTTGGCACGTGGCCTCTGGAGCCCCTGCCTTTTCTTGCTGGCACTCGCACAACCTTCCAACGTAGCCCTCCTGACAGCTGAAAGAGCGGAGAGGGGTGTGGAAGGAGGCTGAATGGGAGCTGCCAAGGGTTTGCCAGACCTCGTCTCTCACCGAATGCTTCCCGAGAGCTCCCTATCAGACCCCCACCAATGCATCTCCTCCTAGGCCCACTGACTGGACACCCATCTCCTCTTCCCTCAACAAACTTCCCCAGTTTCAGTCACTGGGAAGAGCAACCGAAACCATCAAACAGCTTAGAAGGCCTTCCTTGTGGAGAAAGCTTAAAGTATTCGCAATCAGGTTTTTTTTTCCCCAGGCAACTAATTTGGTGGCAGGGTTGAATGGAACTGGGAAACAGGAGCTAGAATTTTGAATCACAAGAACCAAAGATGAGATGGAGTAACTATTGTTTCTCTCATATAGTATCAGAATGTAGGGGATTGGACCCAAATGGAAGATGAATCAACCACACCGGCAGAAGTAGACTTCCCACGGCTGCACTCCCAGTGCCCTGAAAACACTACGCAGACCTCCTTGAGCAGAGCCTTTTCTTATGGAAAGCAGCTACTGAATTCAACCCAGGATCAGTTAATTTAAAATAGATACACAGTAGATTCCATGCCAAGGTGCAGGGGGAAGGACCACAGGAAGTCACAATGGCTACCAACATAGACAGCTTTTTTTAACGATTAGATCAGGGTGGCCAAAACACAACACACGAGCCCCAACAACCTCTTGAGGTCACCCAACACACCACTCAGATTCACAATGGCAAAGAAGCACCGATATGCCACTACAGGGCAAGCTAAGCCTTTGCGCGCATCCATTCACTACAATGGGGCAAGGGGCTGCCCACATGAGAACCAGAAGCCCCCGAACTCCCACAGTTGTCCACCCCTGGATTAGGTGGTTCTGGGTGGGGGGGACAGATCTGCCTACGGCCATTACCTACGAGCGTTAAATGGCATCTCCTGGCTCAGAGGAAGGCCACCTCCAAATATCCAGGGCAATCAACAGGGACTACCCCAAGGACTGCCTGGGGCCCATGCAACTTGGCCTGGCTGGGCTGCTGCTGAGCTGGCTGTGTGCAGCTCAGACTCTTCCAGCAGACACTGTCAGGTTCTGCCTTTGGGGCTGTCTGCATCTGAACGTTGATCCCTTCTGCTTGTGCCGTTCTCAACTTTGCTCCGACCCTGTTAGCCTCCATAGAAGGGGACTGTCATTGTTTTAAACTGAAAAGCCAGAGTTCTCTTGTGAAGCAACTAAAAAGCAGCAATGCAGACCAATGTACCTGCAGACACCGCAGCTGAAGTTGCCGTGGCCGCCAGAACAGTGCTCCGCGTAGGGCTGGGCATCTCCGCACTGGCACTCGCATGCCGTTGTCAGCTGCACCTGCAGCTCCTCGCCCACTCCCAGCACGCGCAGCACCAGTTTCTGTGGCCCAGGGAGGCAGGCAGTGGCCTTGATCCTCACTGTGAATTGCACCTACGGAAGAGGGGAAAGCAGGGGTAAGGGGAGCGCAACCACTGGCAGAGGGGCTGGCCCTGCCATGGGGGAGAGTCGGAAGAATCCTCAGGCGGCTGGAGGACAGAGCTGTGGTTCAGTGGGGCCACCCCAGAGCTTGCCTGCTTTCCCCAGGTCCCATGAAGGACGCTGTGGGTCTGACTAGCTCCTGACCCTGGAGCGGCGCAAGCCCCATCTTGTTCTTTGCCTCCAGCATCACAATTCTTAGGCAGGCTCTCCCTGCATACTGCTCTAAGCCACAGCTAATGGGCCGGCTGTTCCTGTGATGTGAGGCCTCCCCCTTGTGATTCAGGCTTCCTTCCGAACCAGCAAAAGTGACCCACTTCGGTGCTCACCATTTGGTTGACGCGCACACCAAGGCATTCCCCACCCTGCTCGTGGCCGAAGGCTTCCGAGTTGCCGCAGTGCGAGTCGTACGCGATGGAGATGCCAGGAGGCAGGTCTGCGGAGTGCTCCAGATTCACCGTGGATGAGAGGCTCTGTGGGGAGACCGACACTGAGGGTGAGCCATGCCTGGCTCAGGGAGAGCAGTCCGGCCTGCCACGCAGCTCTGGCGTGGCACTGGGAGAAGGACTCGGAAGCCTGGGAGTCCAAGCCTCACGCTGGTGGCCCTGATGCTCCAAGCATGGAAGGTCAGGGGCATATTCAACATGATTTGTCAAAACCTTTCCTCAGATTATGAAAAAGAGACTAACTATAATTTAATATTATGAAGAGCCATAGAAAACCCTGCAAGGTGCCAATGGAATTCATTTATTTTTGTCTTTAAAAGGAAAACAAAGTTAAGGGTGCAATCCTGTGTGTGTTTTAGCAGAAAAGAGGGCATAGGATTATGCCTTACATGAGCCAGCTTCTGTCAGCAACTAATTTAGAATGGATGCATGTGTCTCTCATTTCAGTGCTGTTATTTTTAAAACTGCATTTCAACAATGTAAAGTGCCCCAAAAGGTGCACATTTAGAAAATGCAGCAAGCAAGCAAGCAACTAACAATTTCCTGAATGTTTTTTTTTAACCCAATCTCATGAGGAAACAGCTGGAACAAGGTTCAAAAAGCTCCAAAAATCCAAAAAGCTCAGCCAGCCTGAGATCCATAGCCTGTAATAGTTTATCACCACCACTTCCTACTATTACCGCCTTGCAAGTAAGTCCACAAGAGTTCTGAGCCTGAAAATGTTTGCTAGCCTGCTTGTAGGTGGCAGAGAAGGGAAGGCGCATACGGGTCCCTCTGCCAGCAGCCCCTCTACTTCCGTGCAAGGCACGCGGGCAGGGGCTCCCTTCCCCTGGCAGCCGGCTTGCTGTCAGCACAGGGCTGAGGACGGATGGGGTGATCTGCCTCTTTCTCACCAGCCTGCTCACTTGGTCTGCAACTCGTCAGTGATCCCCTTTTGCCACCAGGGGAGTGCTTTTGTGCAGGGCTGCCAGGCCTCCTGTCAATGCAGGACCCTTCACGATCTCCTGGATTTGAGCACGTTGCAAGCAGAGGGCAGATCCAGCAAATGCGTGCCCTGCACAACCAGAAGGTTCGCTTCCATTTGCCCGTACTGGCCTTCTGCAAACTGCGATCCTCCAGGTGATGTGGACAACAATGATCAGTATCCCTGACCATTGACCATGATGGGAACTGAAATCTCCAGCATCTGTGGCTTATCAACCACTGCAACAGCCCACTTTCGTTGGGCTTACACAGAACAAGAAGCTGTGGCATATCCCCCTCCCCCTCCCACATGCCCCGAATATTGAAGACAGCAGTGGGTCCCACAACAGGAGGCCCTGTGGGAAGATTCACCCATGCAGGTTTCTCATTCGGCACAAGCCAGGTCTGTGTTTGTCAGCAGAGGGGCTTCAGAGAGCCTTCCAACTCGTTTCCCCTCTGAGCAGTTTACCCAAGTGGGGACCACCCGTTTTGTTCTTAAAAGTTGTAATGGAACATTTTCAGAGCAGAAGTCACAGAAATATCCTGGGCTCCACAGTAGTCTTTCATACAGATACAGATCCATCCCAACATAATTTTTTACATGCTACACCACTGACAAGGGCCTAGGGACAGCTCTAGGGAAGTTAAGTAAGCCAGGCTACTGGGTGCTATAGAAGACAGAGACGAGGAGGAGGAGGAGGAGGAGGAGGAGGAGGAGGAATGGACAAAATGTCCAGAAGATTCAATAGCCAATCTGACTGGGCGAAAATGCCTTCTTAGCCCCATGTGAAGATGAGGCACACTTTTCATAGTGTGGGAGCACTATGGGAGTGGTGGGGAGCAAAAATATTTAGACGAGACTAGCACACTCATTCCTCTCGGTGCTTTTACACTGGACCTCTTCAAATGCCCGAGGCCAGTGTGCCTGGGACTCCCCTGACACGCTGCACCCTCCCAAGGGCTTCTGGCCTCCTCCCAGCCCCTGCTTTTCCTCACATTGTATGCCTCCGCAATGAGCTGCACCACGTTGCTGGAATCCTCCTTCAGTTCTCCAACCACCGACTTGGGAATGTGTCTGCTCAGCTCCTAGGGAGGAAAGGAACAGCTGAAGGTGAGGCTCACCTGGCCTTGCCTTGGCTGTTCCCCCAGCTGTGCCTCTCCCTTCCAGGCCAGCACCCACCTCATACATATGAAGCATGGAACCGGTCACCGCGAAGATGGGCTGGATGTTGGCTGCAGAGAGCACCTCGGCCAAGTGGGCCACAGAGGGGTAGTCCTGCCAAGAGACAGAGCCGGGGGTCGCCGGGAAGGTCTTGACTGCATTTTCCTCTCTCTTGCCCACCATACCGCTCCCCCACATGCATCTCCTTCGGGGGCAGGTTGCACGCATCCCTGCTGGCCCATCTGGCATTTCTCCATTCCACAAAAGCAATCGCAATAACAATAAGAAGCCTCAACAGTGTCAATAATGACTTGTTCTATTTTTTATACTGGAATTTTAATTTTCTGGGCCCTCCAGAACATCTCTTTCCACCTCCAGCAAAGAACACCAGACTCATGGTCATTAAGAAGCGACAGGTGCAACCATATTTTTACTGTATTATATTTGTATCCCACCGTTTTTCCTTCCAAGGAACTCAAGATACCCTACGTCATTCCCTTCTTCCTCAATCTTATTCTCACAACAACCCTGTGAGGTAGTTCAGCTGACAGTCTGTGCCTGGCCCAAAGTCACCCAGTGAGCACCATGGCTGAGGGGGGGATGAGAACCCGGGTCTTCTGAGTCCCAGTCCCATGCTCTTAACCACTACACCACACTAGCTACAATAAAGGACATGTTCTACCCAACTATCCCAAGCATCTCTGGCTAAGAGGACTTTTAGCAGCTGGGCTGGGAAAGGCCCCTGCCAATGATCTTGGATGAGCCTGGCCAGACAGTTTAGATCACACTGATTTAGGTGGACCAAAAACCTCTCTCCATTAGATCACTTCATTCTCTTGTATTAACACATCTTCTCTGTTCTAATCACTAGACACAAATTTCACTTGACACACGGTATGTTGCAGTCACAACATACTTCTCTGTGCCTAAGACAAGTGTCCTCCAGATGTTGTAGCTTACAATGCCCATAAGTCTCAGCCAGCATGGCCAGTGGTGGGGGATTATGGGCACTAAAGTCCAAAACATCTGAATGGCACCAGGTCATCTCCTGCTTTATGCCAAAGAAGTCCAAGACACAAGCATTTTTTCCATTGCCTGAAGGAGGTGTGATGCTAGACACACATCCAGCACGAAACATTTATTTACTGATTTTCCAACTGCATTCCTGCAGAGAACGCATGAGGGTTTACATAATTCTCCTCCTAGCAGGGAGCTAGACATATGGTTGCCAAAAAAGCTGACTGCCTGGTATGCCATGCTCAGATTCCACATTGTTTCTCACGAATACAAAAGGTCTTCTTAGAGAAGACACAAACTTTTCTTTTAATCCCTACAGAAAGCCTACGGAGTCCAGGCTGGCTCCTTGTCGGATGCAGTACTGCTGGACTGGCTACCCAAGAGCAGCCAATCATAAGCACGCACAGTCCGGGCTCATACTCACCTCTTCAACCTTATTCCTGCTTCCTCCGGCCCACTCCCCTTTTCTCTCTCTTTCAGTTTCAGAGCAATAACTATGGTTACTGTTAACATGAGCTACAGTCAAAGCCAGCTCACCACAAGTATCGGTAAAAGCAGATTTGGATCATGTGGGGGTTTGGAAGTTTCATACCTGTACCACTAAATCACCTCTGGTTACAAAACTGGAAGTGGTTAGGAAGGGTGCCTGTGTGAGAACGGGAGATGCGCGCAAGACCTCGGGGTGATGACCAGGAGAAGGGAGGAGCTCCCCAGGCATTCCTGACCATGTAGCCCATAAATTTGCCCTGAGCCATCAGCAGAACCAAAGGTGACTGGGCTGCGAAGCAACCTCTGTGCCTGCTGCCCTTCAACAGAGCTGTGAGGGACCTACATAGAAGTGGCTTTCTGTGTACAGGCCGTTGGCGTCCAGGTGGCATTGTCCATCATTGGGCAAATAGACTCCCCCCAGCTTCCCATCTCCAGCCATGTGGAAGGCGCCGTCTGAAGTGAAGACCAACAACCTCGTCACATCACGCCAGCCAATCTGCTTCTGGAAGAAGAGAGAACACGGCACTGTGGTTCACCCCCACGAAAGCTACTTTCCCAGGCAAAACCCTGATGCACCAATAGCTTGCACATGAGCACGAAACATGATCCGAGGCTGTTCATGCGGCATCTAAGAGAGCTGGGGAAAACGCCACAGGATTTTGTGGTTTGCTGAATGTAGAGATTTCAAAATTCAGATTGCTGAGCTAGAGTCTGAAAATCAAGTCATATTTCAGACTGGTGTTTTTGACTGAATAAATGAACGGACCAATTTAGGACAAAAATTCGAACTGTGATTTTACATGGCAACTGTCAAATGCATATATCCACCGCAGGTCAGCCCTCAAATATCGACAAGACCCTGGCACAAAGCTACCAACCGTTGCCCTGCATAGCAGCTTCATGCAATAATTGCAGTTCTGACTGCTGCTGACCGCCAGTGCTCAGGGACTGTCCGAAGTTTACTACTTACTTCTGCTGCAGTGCCTCTGGATGGCATCCACCGGGGAAGGGCTTCTTCACCCAGGGCCTGATTAAACTAAGATGTGCTGATGGCCCCCAGTTTAGCTGGTGTGAAAAGGGGAATGAACCAATTCATAAAAGAGAAGGTTTTCAGCAGTTTAGTCCTGATGGCTACATGGTAGCTCCAGTACAGGAGGCAGGGTGCCCGCAGAAAACAGTGGCTTGGGAAGACGAGCAGGTGGACACTTTCATATCGGTGACCTGCTTGTGGGTTTCTCAGGAGCATCAGCTGGCCAGTATGCAGATGCAGGATCTTTGATCTGCTCCAGCATGGCTCCTCTTAGTATGCTCTTTGCAACAGGATACCACCAGGTTAGGAAAGCAAATGGTATCGATGAGAAGGCTTCTAGCATCCCACGAATGAAAATTTGAAGGCAGGATGAATGTACAAGCCGATGTGCAACTTGCATTGCTATGGGGTCTCTCTTAGTGCCATTCCCCATTTGCACAGGTTTGGGGCTGCACATTCATTCATTAATTATAGATATATCCCCTGTTTTTTGCTTCCAAGGAACTCAAGGCAGCTTGCATCATTCTTCTCCACCTCTGCATCTGATTCGCACAACAACAACCCTGTGAGGTAGGGAGGGCTGAGAATCTGTGACTGGCCCAAGAGCACCCAGTTGGCTCCATGACTGAGTCAGGACTAGAATCCAGGTTGCCTGAGTCCCAGTCTTGCACTCTTAACCACTACACCACACGGGCTCTCACATTTTTGACATGCATGCCTCTTACCTGCTGACTCACAACTCTGCTCAAACAATTATGGGTTAGTGGGATTAGTCATGACACACATACGTATTTGCATGCATCTAGATTCTTGCGTCTGCGCACAAGTGATGCAAGCACCTGCGCACCTGCGCAGCATCCTCACAGAGACCTCTATGCGCCTCCCAGCCACATCCCAGCCCTTGCAGCAGTGCACGTGGGCCCCCACCCTCTTACCTGGCAAACTGCTGCCTGCATGATGGCATCAAAGCCTCCCTCAGCATCGTCCATGTTAGCCGAAATGTGCTGCTGACTGACTCTGCTCTCAAACTCACTGGCGTTGTCGGTCAGCTGCAGGACGTGCTGATAGCTGAAGGCTGGTTGGCAGTGATCATCCGCCGTTGGGCAGGGCATCCGCCTCTTTGAGGGCGCCGTGCTCGTGTAGGGAAGCACTGTCTTGTCAACAAAAGAGCCAAAGCCTGCAAGACAAGTGACTCCGCTGTTTTCCTTAGGGCATTTTTGAGAGCAAGGCCCAGTCTCCTTCCTCCCTGCTTTGTACTTTCTCGACAAAATCCCGCAGCGTTTCTGGTCCTTGCCATCTCAGCAAACTCAGGACAGCCAGGAGAAATTGCAAGAGGCTTTCCCACCTGGGAACATTCCACATCCTTTCTGTTAAAATTTCAGCTTTCATTGAAAAAAGAAGGTAACAAGGTTGCTGCAAGGACACAGTCCATCCAAAAGGCAAACGTTCTGAAGTCTCACCCATTTCAGTGGGGGAAATCAGCAGGCTTACATTGCAATCCTAAACAGACTTATTAAGACAGCCTGCCCATTGCTATTTGTGATGCTAGCTGGAGATGATGGGAGTTGCAGTCAAACACCTCTGGAAGGCATCTTATTTACAAGCTTACTTTATTTTTATGCTGCCCAACAGCCAAAGCTGTCAGAGCAGTTCACAGCAGTTAAAACCTAAAAGTACAGCATAAGACATAATGTGAAAGCTTTATAAGTTTAAAACTGAATAAAACTAAAGGAAGAGCCAGAACTGAATCCAGCACTGGGTTGGAGGCGATGGTACTGACGAGTCTGTTTGCATGTCAGAGGAAGCAACCCTTTGTGGTCCCTGGACCCCGTCTGAGGGATCATTGGATATTTCAGATTTGGTGCTCTGAGGTCAAAAGCAGCACTTGGACACCAAAGCTGAGAATCCAAGCTCTGACCACAGTCACTATCCCTGCAGTCTCCTCCACTTGCAGCCAGTGCAAAGCAGACCGTGGGGGCAGATGCCTTTCCAGGACTGAGAATGTAATGAGGCATTCTGGTGCTCAGGGATGCTCTTCCGGCCCCAGAATGCTTCCACAGAAAGGGTAAAAAAGCCGTTCTGGAGAAAATTCAGGGCAAGAAGATGGGGTGGGGGGGCAAAGATCTTCTCCACCATGACTCCTGCCCTGCAAGGGATGCAGAGAAGTCTCTGAGTTGGGGAGTTGAGGCCACATCCCTTAGGATTGTGCCTTAAGTTTGCATGTTTACATGTACAGAACATTAGAAGTATCAGGTTGGGGTTGCAGTCCTCTAACCTCCTCCTTAAGAATAAGCCTCACTGGACTTGAGGGTCCTTATTTCTGAGTTAGCATGTTGAGGACTGCACCATCAGACCTCATGGCTCTCCTTTTCCTCACTGCAATTCTGAAAAAGTACACTGGACTCTTCCAGTGCATTTGCAGATTTCACAGCAATTCAAAACAGAGCATTCCCCTAAAAGAAATAAAGCAGCACAAACAATGAAAATAGACATGCAGGGAATAATGGGCAGGAAACATTCCACCCGTCAACTCAGTAAATAAGAAGTTAACATCTGCCCACTTTCCTGAAGATGACAGATGCACACCTGGGCCTGGTTTCTAATTTTATTTTAAGCATATCAGAACAAATGTCCTTGAGTTGTGTTTTGGGATTTTGTAGAGTTTTCCTCTGTTTCACCTTGACTTGCAATGTCCACCCTGCCCTGCCATTGTAGGGTTGGATACATATGTAGGTCAACTGGGCTGGCTGAAGCAGTGTTCCCTGGCACTTTAGCCTCACCAGCAGCCCCCTGGAAATGCTGCGCAGAGGGTTGGGTGATCCTGCTGAAAGGGGTGCATGGAGGAGTGGGGATTCCCCAGAATAGGTGGGGTGCTTTCCATGAGCAAAGCCTTCTGTCCACAGAAGGCAGAATTTAGATCCAACCCGTCGCTGCCGCAGCAGATGTAGCTTCAGACTGCATACCAATCTTCACTGAGGTGGTAACATCCCGGAGGGCGGCCAACAGGTCACTTCCCAGGCGCTTAATGTTCTCCAGGTCATCCTTCATGGAGTAGGAAAGGTCCATGAGATAGTAGAGGTCTACAGGATAGCCTTCTGCCCTTCTGAAGCGGACTGTGAAATTCTGCTCCTCACCTGTGGGCACAAAATCAGATGGGAAGATGATGGAACTGGTGCGAGTGGATGAAACCCAGGCCTACCAAACTAGCCATCCTCTGATGAGACTTGTAGATGTTCATTGTACTTCTCCTGGAAGATGGCCCTGAGGAAGGTCCTCAGCAGAAGGTCTTGGAGCACAAGCAGGCTGATACAGAACCAGCTGCTGTTCCAGGTTATTTGGGTGAATGTCCCCCATCTGGAGTCCTCCACATGGGCTGAACTGCAAACTCCCATCCCCCGGAAGTTCTGCCTGGACCATTCCTGCCAAACAGGCATGGGCTGTTCTCTCACTGGGAGGACTTACCAGGCCGAAGCCGGAGGGAAATCCGTTGTGGGGCCAGCTGTGTGATGGTCTGGTGCTGAGTGCTGTTGCTCAAGGGCCTGTCCTCCAGTATCTGCTGCTGGCCATGGGGGTCCACGATCTCATCGGGAAGGCAGCCGCGACGCTCCAACTCCAGTCGAGGGGCGCACCTCCCAGAGTCTGACCCACCCGCCTGCACAAAGCCCTGGGGAAGAATGAGCAGGAGCCTGTTTCCATCCGCCCCTCGGGGCATCCACGCAAACCCTCTTCACAGGGGTGCACTGAGGGAATGGCAGGGAATGGCCAGTGGGATGCCTAGCCTTCTTCTGAATGGCCTTTGGGATATGCAGTAAGCCCAGAGCGGCAGAGTGTTGGACTGAGATCAGGGTTCTCCCTGGGTGGGCCAGTCACTGACCTTCCACCCAACCTACCTCACAGGGTTGTTGTTGTGAGGATAAAATGGAGAGGAGGGGGACCTTGTAACCTGCTTTGGGTTCTTTGCAAGAGGAAGGAAAGTGGAGTATAAAGGCGAATTGATGCTGCTGCTGATTGCTTACAACTCCATAGTGACTGTCCCCAAACTTTCTAAATGGCCACTGAAATGCACAGGAAGGGGCTGGGAGCCTGCAGCAAACACCTGATGGCCCATTATTCAGTCTCACAGGGTAGTTCACACAAGTTCTAAACACAGTATGTCAAAAGGAGACAGAAGGGATCTTCCTTCCTGGAAATAGGGCACTGAAAGCCACAATATGCTTGGTGAAAAGTGGGCAAGGTACTCCTACGCCTAGTAAGTGTCTGACATCTGGGGGGGGGGTGGGCAGGGGGGATTAGCAATCTGAGAACAGTCTTTTAAAAAATGCAAGGAAGGAAAGAAACAACCTATCTCTACAGTGAAGTGCTTCTTTAATTAGACTTAGTTGGTTCAAGAGTAAAAAGCTGCTCCTCGATTCAGTCTGCAGACTTAAAAACTCCTTCAACTACTGGGGGCAAGCACCACTGGAGAAGAGAGCATGCATTTGGGAACACACTGGTGCGACCCAGGAACAAAAAGCGATTACTCAATTATGATTTCTTTAAACATATGACAACCTTCCCTCCCTCCCTCCCTCATGGATTTGCAGGGCAACCTGGCAAGGAGAAGTAGATGGGCCCACGGTCTCAATCCATATATGGCAACTGCCTAGCTTTCTGCACAGAGTCAAATAGGCAAAATAAGCAAATGTGCATTATTGCACATAACAGGCAGCATTCATTCAGGTTTCAGGATTCTGTTATCCATTGGTACCCTCCACACTTTAAAAATAGCACACACAGAGATCAGCGAGGCAAAGAGATTGCAGGAAACAGCCTAGGTGTGATGTCCTTCTGGGGCCGGCACTGCAATCGCTGCCTCAGGTGGGTCATGATCGGAAAGAGTCGGAGGTGAGTGCTGTGGGTCACAAGGCCTGCCTTGCCCCTGTTTAAGGCAGCCCATATCATTCAGGTGTGGTGGCGGGCGTTGACCCCTTGCCAGCCTTGAATGGCCCAGCTGTCCAGTCAGGTTCTGTACATGGAAAGGGAGGGTGGACACTGTCTTGCCATTCCTCTCAGCCTACAGAATATCTCGAGCCGGCCCTGATCTCCCTGGAGAACGTCTTGCTGTTCCTACACAAGTGGCAACCCTTCCCACTCTGCTCATGCCCCCCCCCATCCACCACCCCTGCCAAATTGCCAAGGCAGACAACAAGGCAGCCTCCTCCTATCAGTCAAGCTGCAGCAGTTTCCTGTTACTCCAGGTGAAAAAACCGCAGATCCAACCACACTAGGCTTAAGGGTGTTTGTGTTTTCCTCACTGCTTTATCTAGATAAACCTTTGAGAGGCCAAGCAGCGTGGTCTTTCATGATACAGAAAGAACAATGCACGGCTCCATTTATCAGGGCTGGTGTCAGCAGTCAGCATGGAGAGCACCAGCCCAGGAGCACACCCTGCTATGAACTTCATAGATACATCATTGTTCAAGAGGTGTAGCAGAAGTTAAGGCAGTCTGTGGCTGAGTTTCAGACCCCAGCAAGTCCCAGAGGCAAGAGCACAACAGCGAAAGGGTGGGACCAGGCAGAGAGAGGTTCTGGGCAGACAAGTGAATGGCGATAGTTCTTTCCCAGCCAGGCAGAAGATGCTCCATCCTGTTGTTCCTGAGACTGAACACCTTATCTGGAGACCTTGAGGAGAAGCTGAAAACCTGAAGACCTGGCAATCCTAGCAGCAGATTAGCTCTATGTGGCTGCCCAAAGGAGAGGGAAACTGCAATTTATTTTGTATATTGTGCTACCTTGTTTAAAACTGTATCTATAAATAAAATCAGAGAAGGAGAGCATGAAAAATAAGATCACCCAGCAGTACTCAGTGCTTGACCTTGGTGAGATACGGGTTCCAGTAGCTTATAGGGTAAATTCAGATGCTTGTAACAGCTTGCAATAGCAGGAGCAGCAGCAGCAGCCGCAGCAGGAAAATTTCAGTCAAATGTCTAATCCTTATGGCTGTGAAGAAAGGTTTAAAAGTGAATCCAGCCCTTCCTCTGCTCAGGGGCTAGTGGGAACTGACTGACTGACTGACTGACTGACTGACTGACTTATTTTAAAGCTTTTACATGCCATTACAATACTAAAAGTCTCTGGATGGCTTACAAATAAACAGAAAAAAGAAACTTACTACTATACTACTTTCAACAGCAGCTGGTGGGGTCATATTTAAGAAAGCTCGGCCATGTTCCTTTTCTTTTAATGTAATTCTAAAGCTGTTACATTTTGTGAACAAGCACATCAAGAAGAAAGGTCCTTTGCCCTCCTGGGCCAGTGTGCTGCATGCAGGGAAGGATGTTTTTGAATGCATAAAATGAGCCCCACCTGCACTCTGAAGTGGTACAAGCTAGAATCCTGCTGCTTTGTCTTCCGCAGGTTCCCAGGACCTGGGCTGGCTGGTGCGTAGCTGCTGCCAATGCGCGTCTTCTCCCTTACATGGTGGTAAAAGGAACACTGGACACAGCAGCTGCAGCGCTCCTCATTTCCCGGCCTCTCCAAGGAGGGCACCCTTCAGGGTCCAGAGAGGAGGTGGTGGGCATATTTTGGAATGTTTATGGTTGTTTTTAAATCCTGGGTCCATCAGAGGAGCCTGTGCCCCGGCCAGCCTCAGATTCCCTTGTTACCAGCCAACATACACAGTAAATGAAAGTGATGGGGCCAAGTCATACCTCGTATGATTCATAAATTGAAGACTTAAACAACCAGGCAGGATGTGGTGAGCAACAATTTCCCTGTGGCAGGGATGGCACCTGGGTGGCTTTCCGGCCATAGAGGCCATGCTTCCTTTGGGGGACAATTCTTTTATGCAAAGAGGCTTTGGGGAGGAGGCTGGGCCGGGCCGGGCCGGGCCAGGCATGAAACAGACACAGGCAGCTTTCCCTGCACTGGCAGTGCAATGGCAGGGAGGGCTTCACCTGCTGAACATACGCCTTACCAAGCGGCTGGGATACGGCACGGGAGCTCTGCTTTGGAGGAGGGCAGAGAAATAACATTCCTGAATTTGAAAGCAAATTTATGATTGAACTATCCACACTTCGTTGCAATGGATCCCAGTTTTACTGCATTAAAGTAGGCAGGTGGTTGAGCCTGCAGAAGCTATATGGGGAGAACTGGTGAGGCAAGAAGAAAACACAGGAGAGACAAGAAAGATGGCTCCCATTTCCTATCTGGCTGCCCAAAATATTTCACTCCACCCTGCTTAAATCTTGCTATTTAAGATTTGCTATTTATCCTGTTCCTTGAAATAGATCCCCAGAGAAGAGGTTTGATTCAGGGTCTGCCTTCCTCCAAGGTCCTCTCTGTGTAGTATTTTCAGGAGGCTGCAGGGGCTGCTGGGGGCAGGTGGATGCAGGGAAGCCCAATTCTGCCAGCACAGTTGAACCAGTGTGAATCTGGATCCAAACCACTGGCAGATAAATCCCACATTTCAGGAAGGCTCTTCAATACGAAAGCTTAGCTAACAAGAGATGCGAGAGTGCTTCAAGGCTTCGGTAGCCTCAAGCACAAGCAGTTCCTGATATTGACTTGCTGACTCAGTCCATGCGCTTCTTGTGTGTTATAAGAGAATGTTTGTGGGAGGAACTGGACTAAAAGGGCAAAGGGGTGAATTGGAGGCCAGCCTGCCAACAACAGATGCTGCTGCCTTTCAAGGAAACCATTCATCTGTGCCAACAAAGGGTGCAGCTGCTTGGCTAAAAGGATCATAGGTTCAGAACCCAAATGCCTGTCCCCAATATTCACCCTCCAACCCATCAAGATTACACATACTACAGTGCCACAAGCAAGCTCAGAAAGGCACAGGGTGGCTGTTATAACGATAAGCCTGAGAGAAGGAAGAGAATGATGTAAGCCACTTGGAGTTCTTTGAAAAAGAAAAAAAAAGATGGGATATAAATCTGATAAAGATGTGAGAAGATTTATTTATATTTTATATGATGCTCAGCCAGCATGGAATAGTTAATTTATTTTATTCTGAAATAATGTTGTAAGCCGTCCAGAGACAGAAGTAATGGATGGCATACCAATTTGATAAATGAATGATTAATTAATTAATAAAATTAATAAAACCAATCCTAGTTATGGAAAGGAGGGTGGGGAAAAGGGATCATTTTAAATGATTTTCCATGTAGCTCTGAGAATACCATCACAATCTGTTTGTGAGTGTGTATTTTTCCCTGTTTTCTGCACTCATGATCTTTCTGCACCAGTCACCACTGCCTTCAGGCGACTCAGGAAAGCAAGCCAAGCTGCATGCTACTTATCTCACAATGACAGGGACACACATAAACACAAACATACACACAAACATCTTTTCCCAGGCACCTGTTAGCTGGCTGAAGAAAAAAGTGCTGTTGAACATATACAGAGTACCTCTCCCACACAACACTAATGATTCACAACCGGGCCTTGAAAGTATTGAGCGCCAGTTCTAAGGAAAAATATCCCTGCATCCTGCAAGGGATTATTAGATGAGCTGCAGAGGGTAAACGCGTCAGAGGACTCACCACTTGCTTGCACCAGGCACAATGTGGGTGGGACTGGATGCACTCATGGCAGGAGGGATGAGGCTGGCATGAACCTGGAAAGGAAACATCCGTGGTCTGAGTCAGCAGCCATGCCAAATGTCCTGCCACCTAAGGCAGGGGACAAGGTGGTGCCTCCCCACCTGGCCCCCTTTTCCCTGCAGAAGCACATAGGACTGGCAGCTGAACCTTCAACGCTAGCAGAAGGATGATGTTTTCCACCGCACCTGATATGAGGGCAGCAGGCCAGTTTAGGGTGAGGGCCTTGTGGCACCCACGACTCTGCCCGTCAAGGGAGGAGAATGGCCCCAGGGCACTGGAAGAATGGTTGGAAGCCACTGGCAGGAACAGCCTCCTAGCATCTGCTGCCAAGGCAGTCGCTTCCCTCTGGCTAACGTCAGGGCCAGCTCTGGTTATAGCCCATGCACTGCTCACCCAAACCACCCGCTTTGCCTCCCTCTGCTGCATCTTTCTACTTCTGGTTCTCCTTATTTCTGCGCCATCCTTTCTAATCCTTTCCAGAGACCAATGATACTTCATATGGTCAGCCTCCATCCCTGAACCAAGTTGTTATTAACCAACAACAGTGGCCCCCTAAGACTGTTGGCCCCTCAGCATGTGAGATCAGGGCTGCCTCTGCCCCATAAAACAGGGTAAGGTGGTCCCTTTGAGAGCAGCTCATCTGTTTCTCTGCATGGGGCAACTCGCTGTTTCGGGGAGGAGGAGGAGCTTTAGATTGAGGAAACAGTGCAGGGGAAAGGATTAAGCCATCTTTTCCTCACTGCCGTTGTCCCACCAGCACATGTACTCTAGATAAGGACGTGTGGGGAATAAAGATTGTCATGATTTGACCCACTGGATTCCAGTTTGCCAGTCCTGTACCAGTGCCCACTCACTGTGATGCTGCTTGAGCCAGCTCGCAGCTCTCGCTCTCTAAGACTGGCCACAATTTGTACATCTTAAAAAAAAAAAAAATTAAGGAAATTTGCATACAGTTGGTCAGTTTGCCCAAACTGGCACCCAAAAAGTCAATTGTACTAGGGATGTATGCTTTCTGAGTGCCAATCTGTGCCAGTTGGCTGATTTTATGCAAACTGCACTAAATCCCCTGTGCTTTTTGAGTGTCAATTTGCGCAAAATGTGCAAAATACTGTGATTTGTTTTAAAAAAGCAGCAAGATGCATCTTATTTTAGAGATGGGGTTCTGCAGAAGAAAACCCCCTCAACTTGCTTCCAATCACTGGATTGGAAGCAAGCTGGAAAGTCTCATTCTGACAGCTTGGAAAATCCTGGCCTAACTACCACATGCAAATTTCAATTCCCTGGATTTAAGTGTTGAGGGGCAGAGTAAGGTTTCTTTTCCCCCCAGTTCTTACATGTGTTAATCAATCCTAATCAAATCCTGCTAATATCACCTTTCCAAATTGCTACTTGTTCTCTTCCTCCTCCCCCATTCCATTAGAAGCTTCACCCAAAAGTGAAGAAGGAAAATACCCTAGTCTCATAATAAACGTGGAGAAGTTGCATGAAATGTTGCTACCATCTACTCACAATTTGCTTTGGCCACAGCACCTGCACGTGGTGTACAGGGGACAGCAGGTAGTGCCAGGCCTGGGACAAAGATCCAGCTTCCAAACGGCATTACCACTAGCCTTCCCCAACTTGGAGTCCCCCAGATACACTGGCAGAGATGTAGCAGAACCGAGGCTCACAGTGAAGTTACATTGGCATACTTGGATTAGCTGGACAATGACGCCAAC